GTGTAGAAGAGAAGCACAAAATAAGTGCGCTCCAGTTATAGGGATTCGGGATTCGGTGGTTAAATGGTCACCAAATATGCTAGCGCAGATTTTGGCCTACGAGTCCAGGCTGTCGTCTTCACAGTTGCCAACAGACAAAATGACAGGCACAGTTGAATGAGATGCATTCAAATGGCACTTCACTTGCAGAGAATGCAGAGAAACTCACGATACATTTGCATGATTTCCTGTACACATTTCCATATTCCTCTTCTGCTCCGGTCATGCTGCGTTGAGACATCATACAACTGTGAAAAGAAGCCCTGCGGACCTTTTATCTCTTTGAATTTGGGGGAAGTAAAAAAAAAAAAAAAAAAAAATCATTCGAACATTCGAACGTGACGGTCAAAAATTCCAGGTCATTGCGACTACAAAGTAAAGATGTTCATGCGGCAACCAGAGGGCTTGTATGGCATTTCACTAACCCGGCGCTTGGATTTGTGAAGAATGTTTGTTGACTGGTGATAAACATAATGGTGTCCTTGTGCTGAGTGAAGTGAAGTTATGGCTGTTGTTTAATTGAGTTTTAAAATATTAGATTACCCTCAGGACAATCTGTGACTTTTTTTTTTTTTTTTTCAAACGTATCTGGGCCAAACAGCAAATAAATAGGAAGCCTGTCTAAGATGTGTTTACCCGCATTACGTTCGTGATTCTGTGTTTCCTGTGCGTCGGCTGCAGAAGCTCATCGCGGTGGAAGCGGCGCAGTATAAATAAAGTGTGCTTTGCATCGCCCCAGATGCCTGCGGTTTTGGTGCTCTACTTTTAGAAGCTGACAATAACTTTCCCGAGCTTAGGCCCTCTCTGGTGATTTTTTTTTTTTTTTAATTTACACCAATGGTAAGAAGCTAACAGAGTGACAAACCCCAGCATCACATTGACCAGCCAAGCCATGCAATTTGACGTCTCATTTAAGTCATTGAATATTTCCAAAAAAAAAATACATTTTTAACCATTATATTTACATACATATTTTCACAAAATGATCCCCAAGGGAGGAGAATTTATTTTTACATTATCTGTTTAGAGACAAATTGATGCAAGTTGGTGTTTGGGGGAATAAAGTTTTTCCAATACTTGAGTGGTTTTAGAATGTATCAGGAAAAAAATTTCCGAATTTGATTTTTATTTTAGTTTTTTCATAAAGCCCGATGACTTAGCTCACATGTGTCAAACTCCCGGCACATCATTTTAAGTGGCCCGTGAAAGCAAATCAAAGATGACAACTTCAAACTTACTTGCACACATACTTGCTAAAATGTGTACCAAAATTTCACATTTTCACATCATAAATGACAGATATTGTCAGCATTTCCTTGTTTCCAAACCTTTCGTTTCAGTTACTTAAACCATAGTTGAATAAAACGTTATTCTTGACTTCTTTATATAGTTTCAGTTATCATGGCCCTCCAAGGGAAACGGTAACTAAAATGTGGCCCACGCCAAAAATGAGTTTGATACCCCTGACTTAGCTGAAAGAAAAACTCCTTCAGGTGGAAGGCAGTGCCGTGCAGATATACCGTATGTCAGTGTCATACGAATAGGATAAAAATTCCAACGCAGCCATAAGAGCACGATGACATCATCAAGCTACAGGCCTGCTGCGGAGTAGTTAGCTGGAGCACAAGGGCAGGATTCAGTGCACGCTATTTTGTCTCAGGCGGGCTCACGACGCGGCCTCGGACAACATGGTGCCACACTTCGGGAAGTGCTCCTTCATTGAAGACGGCTATTGCATCACCCATTGCCATGACAACGTCACCATGAGCGGAGACAAATTTAGATACTAGGAGGAAATGATTGTCATTCATGTCTGCCGTCCGCACTAGTCTTAAGTAAAGCCTTGATATGAACGTTTGTGTACCAACATCCCATGTAAAACTGCCCGTTGCTTATCCAGAATGCCAGTGCTTAAATGCGGAGCTTCATTGCCAAATATTAGCCAACACAACTATTTCCAGTTGTCATTGTATCTTCAGCTTTCTGTTACGAGTTTTAGAAATGCTATTTGTTAATGCTACTCTCGAGGTTGACAATACGAAGTAACTTTCTATCCAGCTTCTAGTCAGAATCGCGATCTAAATCATTACCGTGAAGGATTCCGTTCATACCGTGATATGAATTTTAGGGCCCAGCCCTATGCGAGTAAATACCGATGACCGCCGACTGAGTTCTTGTGAGAGAATCTATTGTTTCTTCTGACAGTGAAAATTTAAGTTTCATAGTTTCATATTGACTTATTTATGTTTTAATCCTGCCCCTCCCCAAAACACCAGAAATGTTGGCCTTCAATTCCATTTGACCCCTCTGGCTGAGAACTGCTGCATTATGGTAGCGTGGGCCTTTCTTTTTTTTTTCTTTTTTTTTTTTTAATTTAATGTATTTAAATAATTTAAATCAACCACAATTATACAGGGACTGCACTGCAGTTGCATCACGCCCCCATTGGTGTGTCAGACGGCATTAGATCGGCCCTGAAATGACTCACGCTTTCATCAAGAAAGAACATCTTAATGGCGGAGCATCTCTCGACATGAACTCCACATGGCCCCGTGTTGACAAGCCGAGCATCCTTGTGAACAAGGCATTTTGGCAAACGTGTGAAGGTAATTAGCGCGTCAGTGTAGGAGTTAATCATGCATGTAGCTCCTCGTGTTAAGCATTCATCATGCAGTTAACACATACAAATATTCGTGTGTCCTGCCAGAAGCTGCACTATTATGTTATACTTTTGGGTCACCCAAGTACAAATCAGTTTTTTTTTCTTTTTTTTTCTGTAATGAGGCAAAAATCCATTTGTGGAGTTCTGTCAGGCCACATGCAATAACGCTATGATATTCAAAACAAATTGGCATCTTCGTATAAAAGATGCATTCTGACCCAGGGTCGTGCATCGATAAATTGGTACAGAACAACGCAAACAATGCCGTGAACACACGCACGCAACACTTCTGTGTGTAACCACAAAAAAAAAAAAAAGATTTAGCATGAAAGCACCGTTGCATTATTTTTAAATTTATTGCTGGCTTTGTTAATGTTGATGGCTGTTTGCAAGTTCTAATTTTAAAAAAAAAAAAAACCTACATGAGACATCCTTTTGGATTTTTTATTTATTGATTTTTTATTTATTTATTTGCTTGTTTATTTATTCATTTCAATTTTTGTAGAAAACAATGCCAGCCTCGTTGTGGGGAAGTGCACCCAATGGAGTATAATTAGCCATTACTCCATCTACGATTACATAAAAAAATTGTATCTATTGCTATACTCAACACTCGGATCGCATGTTTATCGAATACCGTGCAGCCCTGATTTGCATGTTTTTGTGTGTTGGTCGAAGACCTATTGTATGGTCCGGTTTTGAAATGGCAACTGTTGTCGAGCTAAAACAGAGCTCCTGCACGCTCATCAATATGATTTCCATACACGTGCGAGGGCCATTTGAGCGAATGAACAACGGCGTGTCTCCCGCAAGAAAGGAAGGCGGTGACTGAGTAGCACTTGACTAAGTTGAGCGTATTGCTCGAGCAGCGTGTTGCTCGATGTGCTTGAACGGCTCTTTAGGCATTCCTCAGAGCGTAGACGGTTAAGAATAGCACTCTTTGGTCTCACAATGCTGCTGTGGGTGACTCGAGAGGGGTCGGCCCGGGCTAATACGTAACTGTTATCTGCAATTGACTGCAGCCAGGCTAGTTCCTGTGTCAACACAGGATGTGGTGGCGAGAGCGGCTTCGTCGATCTCTCGAGGGAGCGTGTCATGCTCACCGAGCCTTACCAACGAGTATTGCTTTCCTTTGTGGGGGTTCGGACGTTCTCGTTGGCCCCTCCCCCGCTTCATGCAGAGAGATGGAAAATATGAGTCTATTGACTTCCTTCTTCTTGCTCGACTCGCAACTTCCTGTTCGGCTGAATGGTCGCGAAAGCAAAAGGCTTTAGAAGAGGTCATCACATTTTTCAGACTAAGAGACACTTTTCTGGTACTGATTAATGTGAAGTACGGCTCGACACAAACTTTTCCACTGGTAGCACAGATTTGGTCGTACTTTTTTGGGGGGGGGAGGGCAGTACAGCATAACCATCTTTGCTGATGCGTAGTCGTCTCAATTGGCGTACCATAGTTTCGGAAGATGATTGAAACAGTGACTGAAGAAAACTACCAACAGGTCACTTGATAAAACTTTAAAAGAAGACAAAAATAGGAAACAATGCCATGGTAAAAACGTACAATTATAGCTGACAGCTCAACAACTTCAAATTAGTCTTATTAATTTGTCGTAATAATGAATTTGTCACTAGACTGAAGGAAGGAAGCCTGGTGCTTTGATGAGGCATTATGACAGAAGTGACAATGTGGAATATTGATTTGAGTAAAATAGCAAAGTAATCTCACCTCCATTATCACTCTTGATCTGTTGGCTTTTCTTGATTGATAGAAATCCCAAATTATATCTTGTGTTATATCTTAAGACTGTTGTTTGATGCCCTCCTGTTCGCCAAGTCTTTGAACCGCTTTTTTTTTTTTTTTTTTTGGTCAATGACATGACATCCCAAGAACTCATTCCGAAGCTTCTCCTGGAAAAATTTGAAATCGCCTCCCCAGCACTATTTTGACCAACCAGCATGAAATTAGGTGGGCATGACTATCATAACACGATGCACAAAATGCTCCAAATTGAAGCGGGAGTTGGCCATTTTGGTCGGAATCAAGGCCATTTTGGGTGAATTCCAGGAGTCATGCAATGCCGAACTCGTACTCTGTAAATTTTCCAAAATTAGCACCAATCAGGAGAAGGCGTGCTTGACCGATGGATGATTCGAAATCACGAAGCTACAGGTATATGGTCGAAACCATCTGTTATGGGCATAGTATAGCGTCAGAATTCGAGAATCATTTTATGGATTGTCTGAATGCACGTGACTTTTGACCCAACATCTAACACATGGCTTTGTTCACGTGGCAGCTCTGATGGTACCAGCTGAACAGTGAGCGCTACCTGCCTGAGGACACCTGCCGCCCACTTCCTCTCATCATGTCTGGGATTCACGTAAGTCAATAGCACATCACACCTTTCCTGACGCAAGCAGAGTCCATGATACATGTGTATATGTATTTTTAAACCAATTTATTTCAACGTTTGTGTGAAGTACACCCGTCATGGGAAAATGTAATTTAAAAATCACAATGAAAAAAGGTGGACATGAAGGGGAACTCTCAACACTGATGAGGAACACCAGCTTAATACTAATATTAAAATAAAAGATTTAAATATTCAATCATTCCCCCCCCCCCCACTTGATTTTACTTCTATAGCTGGAAAATCAGTCAAAAGTGGAAAAAAAAGAAAAATGTTTCAGCTCCCTCCACAGGTTTTCTTTTGGCTTTCGATGTCGAGATTGACTAGCCGACTCCGTGACCTTGATGTACTTGAGCCACCCCCTTGTTGCATTGAAAGTATGTTTTGAAATCATTATCACACAGGAAAACCCATTCGTGACCCATCTTCAGTTTTTTTTGTGCATGCCCTTTGGTCAGTATCGGTTAGCCGCATTAAGCCACGAAACAGCTTTTTACGTTGGTCCTGACGCCATCTTCTGTTTTGTGTTGCAGGCGCCGTGGTCGACAGGCACAGAGTGCGTCGCCAAGTACAACTTCCAGACGGCCAACGAACAGGACCTGCCTTTCTGCAAAGGAGATGTGCTGACCATCATCGGAGTCACCAGGGTAACCGGGCCTTCGTTCTCTTTTGACCGCAATGTTTGCTGCGGTCAGCTGAAGAAAATGTTTGTCTTCAGGATCCGAACTGGTACAAAGCAAGGAACATCGTGGGCAGAGAAGGAACCATTCCAGCAAACTATGTCCAAAAGAGGGAAGGAGTCAAATCAGGAGGGAAACTCAGTCTTATGCCGTAAGTGCTCAAGGAACGATGTTGGCGCAAAAGATGGCAGTACAAGCTCCCTTACAGGTGCCGACGTGCGCCTCAAAAATGAATGAGTCTATGTTTCCGCCACTATGAAAAGAAAAGCAAACGTTAAAGTGGCCGTATTATGTGAAGAGGACTTTTTAGTAGCTTGCATACACAGATTCGGGTCTCTGGAATGCGTTTCCACTCATAACCAAGAACATTTTTTGCGAGCTACCAAAGTACGGCCATTCTGAGTATGATGTCACAACGGGGCTAATTGACTTATTCCCGCCTCCTCCGTTTCTTTGTCCATGACTTGGCAGCTATGCTGGGCTGGCACAGTTCCCCCACTTTCGAGCGACTGCATAGAAGGTTGAACAGTTAAACTGAGCTGCAGGTTTAGTATAGATTAGCATTAGCTGTCAGCATTCTTAGCATTAGCATCTGGGAACAAACATATTTGCAATGTCATTGGCGATGAAGTTATGCCTCAACCAGGGAAATTGCAAGCCGTGATTTGATTTCAGCTTTTTTCTTCAAATGGGAGGCCGCTTTATCCACCACACGCTCAGATCCGCACAAGCTAATTGTCAAAATGTAATTTGGGGGCTTGGTAATGAATTGTTGTCTCCAGCAGTGAAAATCCAATTCCTGCTTTTACTTGGTCTTACTGGTGGGTCACTTTTTTTTTTTTCCTTCACGTGATGTCCTCTGCCAGTGCCACATGGACAAATCTGCTCCATGAATTCACAAGTTTAATTCCACAGTTTGTTAATGAAGCGCTACACACCCCACCCACCATGAGTAAAAATGCAGCCACTGTTTTTATTTGACTTCTTGTGGTCTCACTATTCTCTTCAGATTTGTGGCTGTTTGAGTTGCAATGCAAGATGAATGCAAAGGCAGAAAAGGACACACTGACAGTAATTGGACCCCACACCACACACCGTGTGTCATTTGCCGATCCATAAAACGATCCCCAAACTCAAAAATGGTACACTCCAACTCCTGTGACCCCTTTGCACCCGTCATGAGCATCACAGGCGGCAGCGTTCAACTTTTGAGTCATTGGGTCATCCAGCGCTCAACTGGGTTGTTACATAACAAGCGTTAATGATTGGCTCCGCAGGCACAAACTTCCTGTTGCTCCACTTCAGTCCAACTTTCTCTTCACGTATTCCCAAAGGCGTAGCCTATTCTCACAATTTTTTTTTTCTTAAGAGCGGTACGAGGAAACAAATACCAGAACAGTCAAATAAAACCTTGTAGTTAAAAACATCGCCATGGGCTGTGCTTTGGGGTGATTTGATCTCTTTTTGCTTTTTGTGTGATTCTTTGATGCCATTGAGGGTAAGAGAGGAAAAATGTGATCACCATCCATCCATCCATTTCCATGGTGCTTGTCCTCATTAGGGTGGCGTGAAGGAGGCTACAATGCACAATATTTAAGCACAGAGCGTCTGGACAGTGAAGGAAACGTGCTAACCAGTATTGGAAAGCCGCGGCTCTACTATCCTGTGTTACGGAAGCTTTATACTTTATCACGATGCGTTGCACCTCAGATGCTTAGTCGTACTGCTAGTGTTTCTTTTAAGTATGGGGCAAGTTGTGAGCATTGTCAGGCATTTTTAAATGTCCGTCAAGTGTCAACAGTTTTCACTCCCTCGTGTCATTTGTTCATCACCCTCAAAACTGACAATCTTGAATTACAATTATTTTTACAGTGCCTAATCTTGTGCCCCCCCCGGTCTGCTCTCAGTTGGTTCCACGGGAAGATCACTCGCGAGCAGGCCGAGCGGCTGGTTGCACCCGTCATGAGCATCACAGGCGGCAGCGTTCAACTTTTGAGTCATTGGGTCATCCAGCGCTCAACTGGGTTGTTACATAACAAGCGTTAATGATTGGCTCCGCAGGCACAAACTTCCTGTTGCTCCACTTCAGTCCAACTTTCTCTTCACGTATTCCCAAAGGCGTAGCCTATTCTCACAATTTTTTTTTTCTTAAGAGCGGTACGAGGAAACAAATACCAGAACAGTCAAATAAAACCTTGTAGTTAAAAACATCGCCATGGGCTGTGCTTTGGGGTGATTTGATCTCTTTTTGCTTTTTGTGTGATTCTTTGATGCCATTGAGGGTAAGAGAGGAAAAATGTGATCACCATCCATCCATCCATTTCCATGGTGCTTGTCCTCATTAGGGTGGCGTGAAGGAGGCTACAATGCACAATATTTAAGCACAGAGCGTCTGGACAGTGAAGGAAACGTGCTAACCAGTATTCCCATCATGCCGCACTGATGATAAACCTGACTAACTTTCATCAAAGTCTAAAACTTTGCAAGTTCACTTTGCCATAAGCACATAAAAACTGAATAAAGTAAAACTACTCGGCGTTCGTCCTGTAAGATACGTGTGGTGGACACAGAATTCACTTCACACTTTGTCTTATTTCCTCTGTGGAAAATAGTTTCGAGCTGTTTCCTCCACGGTGAGGAGTTGATTCGCTTATGAATGACGGGAAGATATTTTTTTGAAGAAGCACATTCTGACCCACTCAGAGCCAGTCGGAGCCGCAGTCAGTCAGCTACCCCCTCCCCCCCACCCCCAAGATCACTCGCGAGCAGGCCGAGCGGCTGCTCTACCCTCCTGAGACAGGCCTATTTCTGGTCCGCGAGAGCACCAACTACCCGGGCGACTACACGCTCTGCGTCAGCTGCGACGGCAAGGTGGAGCACTACCGCATCATTTACCACAACGGCAAGCTCACCATCGACGAGGAGGAGTATTTCGACAACCTCATGCAGCTGGTGGAGGTGAGCGGGGGAAAAGGGGAATGGTAGCGCAAAACCATTTTAACAACAAAGCCATCACTTGGATTTGAAAACAAAAAATGGCCAGGGGCCACCAACAAAATACCAGTGGGCACCATGAAATAGTGTGAAAAGGGCTTACAACAAGATTTCTGCCATGAGAAAGATGGTGATGCAGATTTTTGACAGTCTGTCGAGGTTTGGTCCATGACCGTGACATGCAAACAAGGTGGCGTTACAACACGTGCTGTATCAATTATAATGCCACCATAAAGATAAATCTCATTGTTGATTTCCACGTAGCACCTACCTTACTTGAACCCTACATGGTTTTTGCAAGTTAAATAAGTCAGTATATTGTATAAGAAACACCTCACTGCAATGTGGTAGTTAGTTTTGACTAGTCTTTTACTTAACCAGAATGTTAAAAATTAATTGAATGGACAAAAAATAACCGTGCTCCTACTCATTAACATCCATTACATAACTCTGCGCATTCAACAGAAACACACACACACACACACACCACGGTTGTTCCCAATGGGGTTCGACTAAACTTCTCACATTCCACAAAAAGCCTGTCTGATCTGTTATCTGCAAGACTGGCAAGGCGGGTAGCGTAGACTTTCATCCCGTCAGATAACACGAAACACAAGAGCTCAACCTATCGCGCTTCTACTGGGGCCGGCAATGCTGATATACAGGAATACCTTCGAGGTAGAGTCCAAATGATTGCCCTCATAAAACCTCACAGCAAAGGCAATATTCGAAGTAACATTTGTTCAACACAATCTTACAGTGTTTCAATCCGCGTAACACCCTTTAAACGCTCTCTTACTGCACTCACATAAACACTCTTGACTCGGACAGCTAGCAGCATATGGCTGCTATTGCTAACCAAAACCAACATAGTTGTGTCTCTCTCTCTCTCTCTCTCTCTCTCTCTCTCTCTCTCTCTCTCTCTCTCCCCCTCTCACACACACACACACACACACACACACACACACACACACACACACACACACACACACAATATTTTTTTAACTTTCATTACATA